TTTTTTTTTATGTTGGAATATAGTATGTTACATTATGTTGTGTTACATGATATTGTGTTGGATTTACATAAAAGACAAATTTTTAATTATATTATGTTGAATTATATTGTAGACAAAGTTTTAATTATATTATATTGGACTATGTTGTAGATGACAAGTTTTTAATTATGTTATGATATTTTATAATCATGTTAGATTATTTAGAATGCTAGATTTATTTAGAATTTTCGATTATGTGGGTTTAGACTTGGGCTTGGGCTTGGGCTTGGGCTTGGGTTTTGGCTGGGGTGGGTAAGGTGGACTAGGGCGGGGACGGGGGTGAAGACGGAGTACGNAGGGGTGAGCACCTGCTCGAAAATAGTCAAATCAAAGCCAAAGAGATAGCTGAGGCATTTACCATTGTCACCTCTGAAACAGAGCAAGCCCCAGTTAGGCACAATTGTACATTAGCTGATGAAAGTAGACTCTATAAGCTTGTCACAGAGAATGAAATCCTGAGGCATCTATTTACCATTAACCAGACTTCTCTCCCTCCACTTGAAGCTAGGATTGGCCGANGAATTACAAATTTACCCGCGGATAGGGATGAGAATGAAAACTATACCCGTCAATGAGGATAGACCGGAAATGGACACAGGTTTTTTAAGCGAATACGGGGATGGAGACTACACCCCCCCCCCCCCCCCCCCCCCCCCCCCNCTATAAGCTTGTCACAGAGAATGAAATCCTGAGGCATCTATTTACCATTAACCAGACTTCTCTCCCTCCACTTGAAGCTAGGATTGGCCGAGGTAGGAGTTACTCCCGTGGTGGTGGTCGTGGCAATGGAGTGGGCAATAGGCTCTGATGGTCCGAGAAAACAACAAGTCAGAAAGTGGCGATCTTATTCAAGCTGGGAAGGGGCAGAGCATAGATGCAGGTGATTCTACTTCTAACCTTAGTTCAAAAATCATAGATTTGACAGAAAATGGAACAAGGGCCTTACCGAATACACCAAAATCTGGCCCTTCATGGGCATCCAAGGTTAAATCTGACTCTAGGTCCAAATTGGAAATGAAATTTGTTCCTCCTTGCAAGAAGGATGGTAGAATAGTAGTTAGACCTCCTAAAGAGGTTGCANAAGGGTGAGCACCTGCTCGAAAATAGTCAAATCAAAGCCAAAGAAACAGCTGAGGCATTTACCATTGTCACCTCTGAAACAGAGCAAGCCCCAGTTAGGCTCAATTGTACATTAGCTGATGAAAGTAGACTCTATAAGCTTGTCACAAATAATGAAATCCTGAGGTATCTATTTACCATTAACCAGACTTCTCTCCCTCCACTTGAAGCTAGGATTGGCCGAGGTAGGAGTTACTCCCGTGGTGGTGGTCGTGGCAATGGAGTGGGCAATAGGCTCTGATGGTCCGAGAAAACAACAAGTCAAAAAGTGGCGATCTTATTCAAGCTGGGAAAGGGGCAGAGGGATGCAGGTGATTCTACTTCTAACCTTAGTTCAAAAATCATAGATTTGACAGAAAATGGAACAGGGGCCTTACCGAATACACCAAAATTTGGCCCTTCATGGGCATCCAAGGTTAAATCTGACTCTAGGTCCAAAGTGGAAATGAAATTTGTTCCTCCTTGCAAGAAGGATGGTAGAATAGTAGTTAGACCTCCTAAAGAGGTTGCAAATGAAGGTTATTCAAAATGGGAGACCTGCTTGGTTGGTTTTTTTGTGGGAAAAAAGTTACCTTTCCATCTGGTTAGATCATCAACTATGGGATTATGGGGTTCCAAAGGATTGCATGAGGTCACCGCAAATCAGAATGGGTTCTATTTTTTCAATTTCTCTAGTGTCTCTCTCCGAAATAAGGTACTGAAGGGAGGTCCTTGGCATATCGGTGGCCAACCCATTTTGCCAAAGAAATGGCAACCTAGGCTTAAGTTAACAAAAGGGGAAATCAAGAAAATTTCTATTTGGGCTAAATTCTATAATATCCCTAACGAGTATTGGACTGCCACTGGCCTTAGCTACATTGCAAGTGCTATTGGTAAACCCCTATACATGGACAAGCTAACTGAGGAAAGAAATAGAATCTCATTTGCTAGGATTTGTGTGGAAGTTGATGCTCAACATCCTCTATTGGAATCTTTTGATCTTTTAATGGAAGGGAGGATGTGGATGATCTAGAGAAAATAAAAATTCATGTTGAGTACCAATGGCAACCCCTTCGCTATGAAACATGCGAATACTTTGGTCATAAGTGTACTCCAACCATAACAAACAAGGCCCAAGAAGATTCACTGGCATAACCATCTCACCCAGTACTTGATGCCTCAGAGTTATGCTCCATGGGAACTAAGCAAGATGACGTCAATGGATTGACTCCCCAGGCTCCTATTGACGTTATAAATCCTACTCAAGCGGACAAAGAACACCCGCTTACTGTGTGGCATGATCCAAAAAACAAGGGGAAGGAAAAAGTGGAAGTCACAAATCCTAGCAAGCAAGAAGGAGGCACCATCAGAATTGCGTTGAGTAGTAGCACACAAAAGGGATGTTGTGCTAGCAAACAAATTTCACCTTCCAACAAGTTCAAGGCACTGGAACTACTACCCATAGAAGGTCATTAAGAGGAGGAACTTAGTGAGTTTGAGTCCCCTAGAACCTGGCAGTATGCTAGATAAGTTGAAAGCCATAGATGAGATTGAGAAGCTTATGAGCACTACGACAAGGAAAAAGCAAAGGAAAACAAAAGGTAAGAATAAGCAGAAATCTATTTCTGACTTGATGCCCAAAAAGGGGCTGGAACCCATTTCCTCACCCTTCCNGCTGAGGTCAATGGATTGACTCCCCAGGCTCCTATTGACGTTATAAATCCTACTCAAGCGGACAAAGAAAACCCACTTACTGTGTGGCATGATCCAAAAAACAAGGGGAAGGAAAAAGTGGAAGTCACAAATCCTAGCAAGCAAGAAGGAGGCACCATCAGAATTGCGTTGAGTAGTAGCACACAAAAGGGATGTTGTGCTAGCAAACAAATTTCACCTTCCAACAAGTTCAAGGCACTGGAACTACTACCCATAGAAGGTCATTAAGAGGAGGAACTTAGTGAGTTTGAGTCCCCTAGAACCTGGCAGTATGCTAGATAAGTTGAAAGCCATAGATGAGATTGAGAAGCTTATGAGCACTACGACAAGGAAAAAGCAAAGGAAAACAAAAGGTAAGAATAAGCAGAAATCTATTTCTGACTTGATGCCCAAAAAGGGGCTGGAACCCATTTCCTCACCCTTCCCTCAATGATTAAACTCTTCTGCTAGAATGTAAGAGGGCTTAACAGCCTCTTGAAGCAAGCTGAAGTCAGAAGAGAGATAAACCTATCTGGAGTAGACTTATATGGTCTTGTGGAAAAAAAATAAGGAGCGTAAATACTGAAAGGATCTTTAGAAGTATGTTGCCTGNCCCTTGAAGCAAGCTGAAGTCAGAAGAGAGATAAACCTATCTGGAGTAGACTTATATGGTCTTCTGGAAAAAAAATAAGGAGCGTAAATACTGAAAGGATCTTTAGAAGTATGTTGCCTGGGTGGAGTCTTATAAATAATAATAACTCATCCCTTAGAGGAAGAATATGGGTTTGTTGGAACCTAATTGTTGTAGATGTGAAACTGTTTGAGCAATCTGATCAAGTTGTACACTGTAGCATTGAGATCCTGGCCAACCACAACTCTTTTTTCCCCTCATTTGTTTATGCCCATAATGAGGCATATCCTAGAAAGTCTCTTTGGAATAATCTGATTCAGAGAGTCCAATCACTATGTCATAGTCCCTGGATTGTTCTTGGGGACTTTAACAT